CCGGCTCCCGTGGTCCCTGGGCCCCTGCCTGCGCCGCTCGCCCCTGGCCCTGCCTGGCGCAGTCCCGCTGGGGCCTGGTGCACTCTTACTGTCCAGCCCTGTCCAGCTCCTCACGCCCGCGTCTAGCTGTGGATCCTTCCCTTTGTTTGGCCCCAGATTGCTCCGCTGGGGACTTCTTCGCGTTTACAGGTGAGAAAATTGAGGCTGGGGTCGCTCAACCACTGAGTAACTTGAGTCACTCCAGTCTCGGCCTCAGGGGCCGCTAGACGCATGGAGTCAGCTTCAGGGAAGACGCGCAGGGGGAGAGCCAGGGCTGCAGCAGGGAAGGGGACCGCGACCGTCCTCGGGGTTAACAGCTGAGCAGGAGCCAGCGAGGGCCGCAGGGACCGGGGTCTGAGGCCGCTGAGCTCCCTCTCAGGCTGCCCGCAGGCCTGTCTGCTCCGCGACGTGGTCCGGCAGGAGAGCAGGGTGGGGGCTCCGCAGTGCTCCCTCCAGGAAGGGCCCCCGAAGGATCCCGGTGGGCCAGCGTGGTGGTCGCTGCAGGGCCCAGGCCGAGGTCCTGCTTCCCAGGGACTGCCTGGCCCCTCTGGACGCATCCTGGTGCCACCTGTGCTGGAGGAGGTCGCCTCCCCACCCCGTCCCCCACCGGCACCAAGACCCTTCGCGCCGGCAGACAGCGCCACCTGGTGGCCGCGCGCCGCAAGCGGCGAGGACGGACACCCCTTTGGGATTCCAGGCGGGAAGGTGGGATGTCGGTTTCACGCTCCGGCCGGCCGCGTGCAGTTCCAACTGAGAGCTGACTGATTGATTGATCGATTGATATTTTTATTTATTTATTTAATTTATTTATTTTGAGTTGAAGTCTCAGTCGCCCAGACTGGAGAGCTGATTTAGCGCCGCAGGCCTGAACGGAGCAGGGACGTGCCCAAGGCTGGACAGCGCCTCCGTCGTCTCTCCGATTCCGTGGGGCCGCCTGGAGGGTGCCGGGAACCTGGCAGGGCGCCTGGCGCGCTGCTCTGACACGTGCAGGTGTGCACACAGGTGCGCCTCTGCACTAGCCCTCTGCTGGGCTTCCCTCCGCTTTCCCTTCGCGGGAGTCCTCCTCCCGGCCTCTCTGTGCCCTCTCCGTCTTCCCCAGATGCCCCACCTTCCCAGGTACCCCGCAGGGCCAAGTTGCCTTCTAGATTTCCTTCTGGAATCTTCTGGTTTCTCACTCACTGATAGGCGTCACAGCTCTGACTCATCCTCCTCTCCCAGCACCTCCCCGACCCCATGCAGCCCTGAGGGGTTCTGAAGGTTCTGGACACCCCCCAATTGCAGCTCCATCCTCCAACTTGGGGCTCCAGTGGCAGCTTGGCCTCCCAGGGACTCAGTTCCTTCACCTCCTCTTTGCCCCTCGCTTTTTCCCACAGTCGTCCCTGTGTCCACTCCACCACGCTCTGCCCCACGTTCCAAGCTCCCCACCAACCTACCGGGCCACTGCCCCTTGACCTGCACCATTATGACCCTGTCTCTAGATGGTTGCATCAGCATATGAAGAGAACTGTGAGAGGTCTGGACTGAACTAGAGCAGCTCCCACCCCACCTGTGCTGAGCCATGTTCACTCTATGAGTTCTTGGTGACTTGGCCTAGGACTAGACATTCCCCAGGCCCCACCACAGAGACAGAGAGAGCCAGTGAGGCCACTTAGAGCAATCCCCCCAGGAAAGGCCAGAGGCGAGACTTAGGGCCAGGCTACACCTCAGCTGACCTGAGTGGGCTGTGGCCACCTTGTCCACTAGGGACTCAGAGAGTCTTGCCTGCAGGGGCAGTGCCCAGGAAAGAGTGGTCACCTAGTGCTTGCTTCGGCAGTACATATACTAAAATTGTAACGATACGGAGAAGATTAACCACTGTGTTAGACTCTGGCATCTGGTTGTTTCCATGTGCACCTTTTGTGACATGGAAGACTTAAAAAATAAACATGAAAAAAAAAGAGTGGTCACCTAGAACCCAGTCAGCATGAGTGCATGGAGGTGTAGGATGTGGGGGCCATGGGTAGAGGGGCTGGCATAGGGAGAGGGCATGCAAACAGGTGGGTGATACTGACATGGATGAGAGTGGGAGCAGCTGGAGGGTCCTCCCAGGAGGCCAGAGGGTTGGCATGATTGAGAAGCTGCTGGAAGGAGTGGTAGGATCGGGCCAAGTGGGCCTTGGGGGACATCAGGAGACCCTGGCGCTTCCTCCCAGTAGGTCAGAACCCCAGAGGGCCAGAGTAGAGGGTCTTGTGGTATGAATGGGGAGCTCAGGGAGGAGGTTGTGGTCTGCCCACCTCAATCCCGGAGAAAATCCAGCTTGTTTCTTGGAATCTCTTCATTCCTAGATGGGGAACTGGCCCTGGGGTTTGTGGTTGACCATTTTCTCTAGCTCAGCCCCCAAAGATGGTCTTTCCCCACCTGAGGGACCCTTTCTCTCTGTATGTCCCTTGACAACATTCTCTGAAGTGGATCCCACAGATTGGGTCCCTGGAACCCATCTGATCTCAGTTGTACTTGCCTGAGGCAGCTGCTGCAGGGAGGGCCCGGGACCCTACCTCCCTCAACCTATCTGGCATGTCATCCAGTTCAGCTGCAAGCCCAGGACAAGACCTGCTACATCTGTAGACCTCGGCAGTTCTAGTCACATCTCTGCTCTGGCAGGTCTGGTGCAAACTGGACAGAGCAAACTCAACATTAAAGAGCTGTATTTTTTTTCTTGAGTCGGAGTCTCACTCTGATGCCTAGGCTATAGAGTGCAATGGCACCATCACAGTTTGCTGTTGCCTCAACCTCCTGGGCTCAGGTGATCATTCTGCCTCAGACTCTTGAGTAGCTGGGACTACAAGTGTACACCACATCTGGCTAATTTTTTTATTTTTATTTTTTGTAGAGACAAGGTCTATGTTGCCTAAGCTGGTTCTGAGCTCCTTGGCCTCTCAAAGTGCTGTGATTACAGGCATGGACCACTGCACCTAGTCAGGTTCATACTTTTTTTTTAAGTTAGGTCTCACTCTGTCACCTAGGCTGAGTGCAGTGCTGTGATCATGGGCCTCACCAAGCCTCAAACTCCTGGGCTCAGGCAATCCTCCTGTCTCAGCCTCCTCAGTAGCTGACTACAGGTGCTTGCCACCACACCTGGCTTATTTTTAGTTTTTTTTGTAAAGATAAGGTCTTGCTACATTGCCAAGGCTGGTCTTGAACTCCTGGTCTCAAACAATCCAGTCCTCCTACCTCGGCCTCCCAAAGTGTTGGGATTATATGCGTGAGCCATGATGCCTGGCCAGGTCTTTACTTTTTAAATGAGACAAATCCACATATGTTCAATTTATGACTACCTCCAATGGTCAATTTTATTATAAAGAACTGTATCAAAATATACAAGTCTTTTAAAGAACAACCAAGAAATGCAGCTTTTTAAAGGGCCAAATGAGTATCAACTGTTTCAAAAAAGGCAGCTTCTCCCTCCAACCGACCATTTGCAGCAACGGAGACAATGTCATTCTGAATAACTTAAAGGGCAAGTCCGGCTTCTGACTCTGGATGCATGTTACAAGTCCTCACGGGAGGGTGGCTGTGTTGGGTTTTCCTCTACAGCTTCTGTCAGGAAACAAACACAGACCATTGAGTAAAAACCCAGCACTAGGGACCTTGAGAACAGAGCTTTCATTGAAACAGTAGTGTGTGGAGGTGTCCTGATGTTCATCTCCTGGCACATGACCCTGGAGGCAGCAGCCCTTCCAAGGGCAGCTTGAGATGAAAGCTGGTGCTCACCACAGCTGGGGGTACCTAGGCACGAGAGAGCCACCACACTGCTGTGGGTGTGGAGGATGCAGGGCTAGGAGATGGCAAGGCATTCCTGCAATCAGCAAGGATGGGACAGGAGCCTGAGCAACCCTGGAATGCTGGAGCCAAAGGGCAGGAAGATGGCGCAGAGCAGCAGGAGGCGGCCTTGTCCTCTGGCCCATCCGTTCTCTGCTGACCCTAAGTTCCCCTCTTGTCTTGGTATTTTAGTTTACTACAGTCTTCTAGATATAGCATCACTTTATTTCTCCTGCTCAGGACTCAGGGAGTTTCTGGAACCTGAATCATGTCTTACTCATTCTGGAAACCTCTTAGCCATTATCTCTTTGAACATGCCTCCTTCCCACTCTCCATATTCTTCTAGAATTTCTGAGACTGTCATGGGTAGAATTGTGTCCCCAAAAGATACTGAACTTTTTATCCACAGCACTTCTGAATATGACCTGTTTGGAAACAGGGTCTTTGCAGATGATCAAGTTAAGATGAAGTCATTAGTAACTGGTGTCCCTATAAAAAGGGGAAGTTTGGACACAGAGACAGACATACATACATGAGATCATGTGAAGACACAGGAAGAAGATGAATCTACAGGCCAAAGATAGAGACCTGGAGCAAAATCTCCTTCAGAAGGAACCAACCCTGACCTCTTGATCTTGAACTTCTGGCCTCCAGGACTGTGAGAGAATACATTTCTGTTGCTGAACCCTCCAGTCTGTGGTCCTTACCATAGCAGCCCCAGAAAACTGATACAGAGACCATCAGAGGTCTTACCATCTTGCTAGCTACCAACTTCCTGCATGTCTCCCTGCAGCAATCTGAGCAGTTTCCAGTTTTTCAGTTCATCAGTTGCATCTTCACCTACATCTACACTGCTGTTAACCACCTGCTGAGTTTTAAGTTTCAATGACTGTCTGTCATTTCCTTCTGTCTGTGCCATGAACTCCTTCAGGGCTTTATTCTCAGGGAGCCGCTATCTCTCTGCTCGAGTGTGCATCCACAGAGGCTTATCTACCTGTCTTCCAGGAGCCCCAATGTCACCATCCCAAGGATACTGTCTATGTTAATTTCTTTACTTGGAGTCCCAGTTCAGGCAACCAGCATACATGCAAACCCCACATGCCACAGAGGGCAGCTGCCTAGAGTAAGAGCCCTGGCACTCACCGCCCCCTGCCGTCGGCACACAAGCGTCATCTGTTTCTTCGAAGCCATCAGGACACACGCAGACGTAACTCCCTGGAGTATTGTAGCAGTTTTCATTTTCCCTTGTACATACTTTTTCTGCTAGTGAGCACTCATCTATATCTAAAATAAAAATACTCCATTTAAATAAATCACTTCATTTAGTAGATATACATGAAATTCATTCATTCATAATTCATTCAGATAAAGAAAGTACAAAATTACAAACATCATACTAGAGAAAGGGGTGAAGGTCAGGAAAGGCTTCAAGAGGGCAGAATTTCACATCTCAAAGATCAGGCCCTCGACTGGTAAAAGATGCTGAAAAGACACCCAGGCAAAGGTGAGGACCAGAAGCCCTGCATGTGTTCCAGTGGCAACCAGGACAGTGGGGCATCTGTAAGTCTACTTTCTCCATTCTGGTTCCAGCAGAGCCCAAGACTACTGGGTGGGTCACATCAGGGAGGCCCTGACCTTGAGCCATGGAGGAGTGCCTCCATACCCAAGATGGCCAGAGCAGACTTGTGGGCCCCACTACAGCTTCTGTGTCTCATGAGACTCCCAGGGGAAGTGCACAGTAAACCTCAAGAAGCCACATCTGCAGGAGAGTTTGAGCTGCTTCCCACCCCCGGTAGCTCCTCCCAGGGCTGTTCACATCGTGGTACCGCCAGAACACAGACCAAGGTTCCATCTTAGTCCAGCAGATACAATTGCACTGACCTGTACACTGTCCACTTTCTTTTGTGTAGCCAGGGATACACTCTTTACACTTTTCTGGGCCTTTTCCTATGCAGCCCACACAGGTAGAATCACATTCTAGAAACAGGAAGGGCATATCAGACCACCAAACACATTTGCAAGACAGGATGGCAGAGGCGCCAACACTGCTAAGAATTTGAGTTTTCTTCTCATTAATCACTAGTGGCTTTGCTCAGCTTTGTCTACTGGCAAAAGCATAGACTCACATCCCTCTGTGTGGCAAACTCCTGAACAGCCAAGACAGAGTAAATTGAGCAGGGGGAAGAGGGCACCACAAAGTGTCCTTCTGTGAATCCTTTTGACATAGAAATTGGTGATAGCAAATGTTCTAGAAACAAAACCCACCTCAAGCTTGATGACACTGGTTTGTTCGCCTACTAGGAACTTAATTAAATGGAGCCTTTCACAAGGCTTCCAGTGTAACATCTCATTGTCAAAGACACCACTGTCAGTGTTAAAATCAAACCTACGCAGTACTGTCATAGACACAGGGGAAGGGAGCCTCATCCTGCTTTGGGACCATGAATTAGCACGACCTTTCTGAGGACAATTTGTCCCTAAAATATACATTCCCTTGACTGAGCAATTTGGAAATCAACCCAAAGAAAACAATGAGGAATGTTAAAAGTTTTGCTTGTAAAAATATTCAAAGCTTATAATTGAAAAATTGGTATGATTTAAATGTTTAGCAATAGAGATTGCTTTAGAAAAGTATGAAATAATGGCACGCTCCAAAATTATTAACATGATGGAGAAAAAATACAATGTAAAACAATGTTCACAATATATTGTTGAATGAAGAAAAACAGATTAAACAGATTACAAGGCACTGTGTAAAATCAACGCACATAGAGTCTGTAAGGAGTGTGTTGGAATATTAACAGGGTTCACTCACTGTAGATTTTTCTTATTTTTCTGCAGCAAACATCTATTACTTGTGTTGCCACATTCAATGTTTTTAAAGCATGTAGAATATGTAGAAGTTATGCTAATAAATCACAAATAAATGTTTTAAAAAGAAGAACTAAAACCCCAGCAGGAGCCCTGGGAGTGCAAGCCCACCCCCTCCCAACCCCACATACCTTCACACGTGTATGAGCCATTGACATTCTCACAATACTGTGTGTTGTTGCAGGGAGGTATCTCTGCTGCACACTCATTCACATCTGGAACAGAACAGCACAACTGTGAGTGGACCCCAGGACAGCTGGGCCGAGGGAGCATCTCCAGAGGACAGAGTTTACTGCCTGACATAACCTAGAGTCAGGGTCATCTGGAGAAGGGAAGGGAAGGGAAGTGAAGGACAGCAGCCTCCAGTGGACACATCTCAAATACTGTCCTTGGAGGTCTCACAGGATAGAGTTGACAGCCCCACACCCTATCCTGCGAATATTTCATGCCAACCAGGGGAGGAGCTGCCTCAAGGAAGACAACAACAGAAGGCTGGCACGTGAGCGTCTCCTGCTCCACATTGCCTTACACACCCCAGAGTCCCTCACCCTCCCTACTGGAGATGTGAAACCTGGCCCAGGACCGAGCCCCTCATTTGCCTAAGGGCACGCAGCTGCTGGGGGGCGAAACCAAAACCCAGGCCAGCAGGGGAAGGGGGTAGCCCAGCCTCTGGCCCCCACTCCCTGCCAGGCACCTAGGCCTATAGCAAAGCCACAGCCAGTGCCAGGCCCTCCCCACAATTTCTCTGAACTCAGAGGCTGTAGTAATGAGTTTGTGAGCTCTGTGCTCTCTGTCAGACTGGAGCAGGTTGACAGAAAGCGATCCAACAGAAAAAAGTAGTGCCCACTGTGGTAGGGCCGGGTGGAGAATATGGCAAACAGCACCAAGGCCAGGACCCATGTGCACCAGTATTGTGACATGGACCCAGAGGAGACCTGTGTTAGGGGGGTGGCACCTCCTTTCTGCTGAGCGCTGCCAGGCATGGAGCCAGCCTGACGCACTGCACAAGCAGAAGGCTGCACCCCTCCGATGGCAGGAGCTCCCAGCAGCCACCTGCATCCCTGACTGTGCTCTCTAGGGCGAGGCAGTTTCTGTCTGTGATGCGCACCAGCAGGACAGCTCTCCCCTGTCTGCCTGCTCCTGAACCTAGTTATGCCACTAGTCCCTGTCCCTGCCCACATCCCTCATAACCCACTGCTCCCCATCAGTCTCCCCCATCATGCTTCCCACCCTGTACTGTCTTTTATGAAACCAGAAAAAGGGGACACAAGTGGGCATGTAACCTAAGGTTTCTCTGCCAGAAACTCAGTCAGGTGAGTTCTCACATGGTTATGCCAGGGCAGCTTGGACCGCAGGCCCACAACCCTGAGTCACCTGACAGCAAGGATAGCAGCAGTCCAGATGCCCACCCAGCCCAGAATTTAGTCTGCAGAAAACATGAGGGAAGCCCCACTCCTTCTTGAGCCCACACACGGTGGGATCACAGGTGTGTGAACCTAGGCCTCCATTCAGGGTCTGAGAATACACCAGGGTCACCTTCCCATGGCCCAGAATAGACAGAAACAAGGACAGCTGCAGATAGAAGGAATAAGGGGAGGGGTTGTGGAGCCTGGGCAGGAGTGGACCTCCTAGAGCCCCGCCTGGACCCTTCCTCACCCATGCAGGCATCCTCCACAAGCACCCAGCCCACTTCGCACTCGCCACAGTCTCTGCTGGTCGGGCCCGAGCACGTCTTGCAGGACTCATCACAGGCTGGAAAGCAAAGGTGGGTACAGGTATGTACAGGTGTGAATCCCTCCTACCCTCTGTTACAAACCAGGGGCAAAGCTCATTTTAGAATGAGGAATTTAAGCTCAGCGGGGGAATAACAAGAAACAAAGACGACAGAAAAATCCCAGGGAGGCAGAAATATCTATCTATATGAGAAAAAACACACGAGGGTTTCAATGCCCATTAATAATAAAATTCTCAGCAAACTAAGACTCCAAAGGACTTTTTTATAACCTGGAGAAGACAGCAACATGCACCTGAAGCCAACATCTGGCCGAAGCCAGCACCTGGCTGGGTGTGTTTGTTCCAGTCACCAGCCCGCAAGTGCCCCATGCCACACCAACATCCGAGACAGGGAGTGAGCGAGGGGTGTGAGAAACAGAGAGGCCATGCCCTAACTGGCGTTCAACACATTCACCCACACAGAACAGCTAAGAGGAGGCTTTCCTACACATCAGTGCCCCATGAGAAAACGTCTTCTAGAAAGATGCCTCTCACAACTTCCTGCACAGATTTATCAACCTGTACATGTGCGAGCTCTCGAGAGAGGACACTGTTTTACAGGCTCATGCTGGGCCGATGCAGCACAAATACCTGTGGTAGTGTGGTTGATCACTACTCAAAGGTTCCATCTCTGTGCGACCTGACAGGGTGTTCTGAAAACTCATGAAGGGAAGCGCATGGAATAACAGCTGGGACAATTCTGAAGACCCAGGTGGGAAAAGCTGCCTCACGCAGTACCAGGTGGTGTGCCCACTGGAAGGGGAGTCAGGGAGGGGGGACCAGGACCCGGGAGGTCACACAGGAAGCCTTCAAGGGTCCTTCTAATTTTCATGTGTGCCCATCTCTCCCTTCTGTCTCCTGCCGCGGGGCAGGTGGGGCTCAGCACTGTTCTCTGTTCACTCATGGACACTGCCTGAAAGACAACAGGCAGATCCCAGCCTCTGCATTGTGATCATGGCCCTACAACCAGCCCAAGGATACCTAGTGGGGTACTCAAGGGCCCATCCATCCTGCAGGAACAGCAAGCCTTTTGCTAGAATATTCGAGTATGGCCCACCACTAGGCACCCCATCCAAGAACCAAGAGAACCAAGCACAGAGATAACAACATCTGCTGATTCAACGGTGTCAGACCTTGAAATAAAGAGAAAAGTAAGCAGCTTTTCCCTTCTAGGGGTTGTTTAGTGACAGGAAGCGCCCCTAACAACCTGCCTCTGTTCTTTGTCATTTTCTTTCATGTGTCATAAGGGCCACATCTTCTGGGCCTCCTAAGCTCCTGTAAACACCCGAGGTTAAAAAGTTAACAAGTCCCTGTTCCCATCCATGCCAGGAGCTCCAGCAAAGGGTTGCTCCCACACAGCCTCACCCCAAGTGGGCCAAGCCCAGGTGCATCCCCGTACCTGTGCATATGCTGTGGGTCTCATTCCGGAGTGAGCTGAAGTAGCCATCCATGCAGTCGATGCACAGCGGCCCCTGGTAACCCATATGGCACCGGCAGGACCCATCCCCTTGTCTGCTGCCATCTCCGCTGCACTGGCCATTCCCACTGCAGGGCCTCTTGGACCCACCCTGGCATGCTTTGGGGGACACAAATCCATGTTTAGAGAAGTCCCGGAGGCTTATATTTCAATACACATATATTTCTTCTAGAGGAACGCTGCTTCACCCATTAAGGCTAAAGACCATGCCCACAGTCCTTGACCCTCTACAGATGGGTCTTTTACTGCTCTATGGACAGGGCTATGCATAGAGAAGCACCCAGGCAGGTCATTTAGGACAAACTCAGGTGAGTCTATTCACCTGTGAGCTACTGTGAGTCTGTGAATCACTAAGTTAAAAACACAGCTGGGGTTACATACCCAGAGCTCTATAGCCCAAAGGAGAATCTCCCTGAAGTGTGAAATTGGTGGTGATATTGCAGCCCTAGGGTATGAGGTGTTCCATGATGCCTTGAGCGGGGGCGGGGAGCTGGCTTATCTTGTGGAAAAGACAGAGTCCCAGACCCTACAGAGAACAAGTCCCTTGGGAATCATGAGAGGAATAAAGGGAATGATGTAGGGGGTTTGGGGTTTCCTCAAGAAAGAAACATACCAAGACAGTCCGGCCCATAGGTCCCTGGAGAACAGCACACTTTCAGCGTTTTCACACAAAACCATTCAAATAAGTCTGGATACTCATTCTTCCTAAGGATTTTAAAAAACTTTCATTAAGTCTCACCTGATAGCCGGGCACAGTGGCTCACACCTGTAATCCTAGCACTTTGGGAGGCGGAGGTGAGATGACTGCCTGAGCTCAGAGGTTCGAGACCAGCCTGAGAAACATGGCAAGATCTTGTCTATAATAAATCAAAAAATTAGCCAGGCATGGTAGCACATGCTTGTGGTTCCAGCTACTTGATTTGGAAGGCTGAGATGAAAGGATCGCCTGAGTCCAGCAAGTTGAGGCCACTGCACTCCAGCCTGGGTGATAGAGATTCTGACTCAAAAAAAGGCAAGACCTTGTCTCTACAATAAATAAAAAAAACTAGTTGGGTGTGGTGGCACATGCCTGTAGTTTCAGTTACTTGGAAGGCAGAGGCAGAAGAATTACCTGAGCCCAGCAGGTCGAGGCTTCAGTGGTTGTGGGTGTGCCATTACACTCTGGCCTGGGTGATAAAGTGAGACTCCGACTCAAAAAAAAAGTCTCACCTGACAGATTTATTTAAAATGAAAATGCAGGTCGGGCTCGGTGGCTCAGTCTGTAATCCCAGCGCTTTGGGAGCCCACGGGTTCGAGACCCACCTGGGCAACTTGGCGAGACCTCATCTCTACAGTAAAATAAAAAAATCAGCTGGGCGTGGTAGCACGCACCTATAGTTCCAGCTACTTGGAAGGCTGAGGCGGAAGGATCGCCGGAGCCCAGCAGGTTGAGGTTGCGGTGGCCGGGAGCGGCCACTGCCCTCCAGTCTGGGCGACAGAGTGAGACTCCAGCTCAAAAAAAATAAAAAGGAAAAGAAAATGCAGTTGATATAAAATACGCTCCAGAGTATCTGGGAAATGAGTCTAATAACTGCACTCCGGTAACAAAATATGCTAACATATGGGTGAGATGGGAGATAAGGATGTGGGAACTCTGTACAGTTTTCATAACTTGTTTAAGTCTGAAATAATTTCAAAATTGTAAGTCAGAAAATAAAAAGTATCCTTTAAGATGGTTTCAGTGAATGCTCAGGACAGCACTCCAGGCCTCCAGCACTCACAGCTGCAACCACCAGGCCTCTAGATGCTCCTCATGCTCCTCCACCATCTGATTGCACTCGAAGTCGCTGCTCTCACACAGACTCTCCACAATCTCCACGAGGCGGATCTCGCTGAAATACAACCACCAGTCAGCACCGGGAAGGCAGTCAGGCTTCATGCAACATATTGGTCTGTTTATTTTACAGTCACTCCTGAGGCCCTATCTGGTGTCAGGCTGGAATTAGGTAGCACTTTACTGAAGAAAGACCCCGAGCCAACACATCAACCAGGGTGCAAGGTCCAGGGCTCTAGGCAGAGGGGAGGCAGGTTTACACCACCTGCTGGGAGAAGGATAGGAGTAAGTAGTTCACACAGGTAGGGAATGGTGTTCCCAGTCTCCATTTTTTAAATAGCCAGTGTCCATTGAGTGAGAATGGGCTATAGGGACCAGTGTAGAAGCTGGAAGACCAGAGAAGGGCCAGCGCATTAGTCCCCAGCCACAGGCAGAGGCGACTCAGACAGGTGACTGGTGTCTAAGGAACTGTATCAGTCATTAATGCAGGACACTGGGCTTCTCAGGACAGGGCCCTCCCGATACTCGCAGTGGTGGTCTGCTGAGCCTACCTGAATTCATACTTGGACAGTGTCTTTTCCTCCCAAGCCGTGTTCCCGCCGCCGAAGTTCTTCTTTGCGGTGTCCACCATTCCCTGCGAGAAGGCGCCCACCTAGCTCAGTGCGGCCCATCACCGGATCCATGTGGGGACGACTCCGGGGCCACAGTGGAGACAACCCCAAGAAGACCACGGTGGGAGAGATCCCGGGCTTTCGGTGGGACGACCCTACCGTGCTGCTGTCCCCCCGCCCCCGCCCTGGCCCCGCTGCCCACCTGGTTGAACTTGTCCACCAGCCCCTGGCACCGCTTGCAGGGTGTCGGCTTCCTGGTGGCCTCCGGCGCGGGCAGCAGCAGCAGCAGGAGCCCCAGTGCGGCCCAGAGCAGCGAGCGCATGGCGGGCAGCGCTGCGGAAAGACGCGGCCGGCGCTTCGGGTCCAGCGGCCGCGCGGCTCCGGCCTCCCGGCCGCCCACCCGCTCCCAGCGGCGCCGGCCGTTCCCCGGGATACTTGACGGCGCCGGTAAGGCCCCGCCCAGCTCCCCATCGCCGCGCCTCTACTGGTCGAAGAGACCCGGCCCAGCCTTATGTGGCCCAATCCGAGCTCGCCACGAGAGGCGGCCAATGAGAAGGCCCCGGGTCAGCGTCCTGCCGGGAGGTAGGGGGCAGGGGGGTGTGGAGATCCGGGCTCTCCCCTCGCGCCCCGCTCCTCCCATGCACAGTTTATGGCGGCCATCTTTACTTTGGGCAGGGAGGGCTCTCTGCGGCAACAGCAGCCGGGTTCTAGTGGCCATATTAGCTTCGGGCAAGGGCTTCACCTTTCTTCTCTGCTTCCGCCGCCCCGTTTCCGGCCAAGGGCAGCTCTGGAGGTCGTGCTCCGAGAAACGACGCCGGGAGCGGCAGAGGTCAGCCTTCGCAGTAGTGGCTGGGGATCTCAGAGGGGGCGGCGAGGCTGGGGCGAAAAGCGAGAGCGCGACCTGGGCTCTCCGGGCAGGCGGCGGGGACCCCGAGTCAGCGGGGTTTGCAACGTTCCTCAGACTTTACCGCGCGAATCCAAGTGTGACAGCCGCCAGGCTCCGCACCTGGGGCCAGACTGCTCACCAGTCACCTCTTAGCTGGGTGCCTGACTCCTTTCCTAGAGGCTGAGCTCCTCACCTGGGACTTGCTCGCTGCGTTTTTGGGGACCCAGGGATCTGCATTTCCACACGTGCCTAAGGCAGTGGGCGGTCACTAAGGTTCAAGAACCTCTGGTTTAAATTAGGAGAAATAAAATGTGCACTATCAGGATTTCAGAGAACTCTTGTCTGTGAGGTCGGAAAGGGCTTCCCAGATGGAAGGAATACAAATAATACAGAGTTTTATTTGGTCTTTGAGCAGTTCTAATTTGCACCAGATCATTTCTGTTTCTAGCTAAGAGACGAATAATTACTAATGTTAACATCTGATTTGATTCATTTCAGTAGGGGCCTTAAAATCCGAAGGGATGGGACAAGAGTGCCCTTGTAGGTCTTTTGCTCATCTGCTGTAAACCACCTATTTTATTTTATTTTATTTTGAGAAAGCAGGATTTATTGAGAGGACAGAAAAGTTCCCAGAGCAGGAGGACACCCGAGGGGGTTGCCCTTAAACTGCCTTTTTTAGAGTCACAGCCTGGGCCTGTCTTACCCTATGGATACTTCCAAGGTTCCTGTTGCTTCAGAGTAACAGCTAGCTGCTGGCCAGCTGTGACGCTCTAGCGGGTTAATGTGAGCCAATGTGGTCCAGTGACCATACGCTCCCACTTAGTGGTTTTTGTACTTACTTATTTCGACTTTGTCTTCCTGTGTTCCTGATTGAGCATTCTGACTGACACTCAGTCTTCTCTTGCCTTTGAAAATGAGCTGTCCTTGGTCATCAGCAGAAAGCACACCCTTCTCTGGGTGTGAGGAAGTTTCAGGGTCGCGGCAGGAGGGTTAGAATAGGTTCTGCGCAAAACATTTTCATCCCACAGCTTGGATTGTCCTTGCAGAAGAAAGTCCCCTGGGCAGAGGTGTAGATTGGGTTTGGCTGGGGACTACCCATGTCAGGGGTCCCTGTACAGTGGCTTCTACAGCTCAGCATGTAGATGCTCCCTATTTCTTTTATTTATTTTTTAAATTTTTTTTTGTAGAAATGGGATCTCCCTATGTTGTCCAGGCTGGTTTGGAACTCCTAGCCTCAAGCGATCTTCTCACCTTGGCCTCTCCATTATGTGGTGGGTAGGATTATAGGCACTAGCCATTACACCCAACTTGCTTCCTATTTCTTTAAAGTTTTTTTTTCTCTTATGACAGTGAGAAGAACAGAGAGAAGTATATGGTTATTCTGTAGTGTCCTCTGGAAATTAAAGCATGGATATATTTTTAATAAAAACATAAGCTGGGCTGGGCTCAGTGGCTCAGCCTGTAATTCCAGCACTTTGGGAGGCCGAGGTGAGTGGATGACCTGAGTTCACAGGTTTGAGACCAGCCTGGGCAATTTGGCAAGATCTCATCTCTACAATAAATAAAAAATTAGCTAGTAGTGCACACCTGTAGTTCTGGCTACTTGGAAGGCTGAGGTAGAAGAATCGCCAGAGCCCAGCAGGTCGAGGCTGCGGTGGCTGTGAGTGTGCCACTGTACTCCAGCCTGGGTGACAGAGTGAGACTCCAACTCCAAAAAAAAGCTGGTGTGATGAGATCCCCACATAAGAGTTTTTACCAATTTCTTCTTCAGCTAATTTGGTGAGCACCTATTGTGTGCCAGGCTCTGCTGATACAGTAATTAATCTTAAGCAAATCCTGCCCTGTGAGTCCAGCAAGGGAGCTGGTCAGATGCATCATTCATTCAACACGTTGGAGCTCCTCCTACCATGTCCAGGCCTTGTCCTTGGTGCTGAGATCACACTGGTGGGGAAAAAAACCAACACAGAAAAACCCTGCCCTTAAAAAGCTTACATCTTAGAAAGCGGGGAGCCAAATGAGTAGCACCTTTTTCCATTCAGTGGGCATTGATTCCTAATGTGGTTCTTAGATCATTGGTACCAAATTTTTATATTTAGCAAAAGAAAAAAGGTATGTTATTTCCAATGGGAAATATTTTGGTTATTCTAAAATTATTAAAACCCTTTTTTCCCCTTTCTCCCCTGACCCTTACCATTATCAAATAGAATTCTTGTTCCTTTTAATCTACAAATTTTCCTTCACTTGTTAATTCTTTATTTGCTATCTCTAGAGAGTACAGACTTCTTAATTCTCCATCTAATCAAAAGGTAGTTTTAACAAGTAGTGAGCACCATGGCTCTCTCTCCCTTTGCTTCTGATCTTTCTGGTTTGAAAAAAAATCAAACCTGTTTTAAAAGAATCTGGAAACATGAAGAATTTGCCACTTCCCCTCCCTCAGTCTTCCATATGTAACAGTTGGACATTATCATGGTTTCTCAGTAAGTTCAATGCCATAGGTCTCCAGAAGTCATCCTACTAGTATTTGGGTGACCAGTTGCAGGCACCCCTCAGGGCACACATTGGGGCTTGTGGCCAATGTGGTGCTACCTTGGGGAAAGCCTATCATGGCTCCTCTAGTCTCCAGGGTGAAGTTCAGAGTGTTGCAGTGTGGGTGTCCACAGCCCAATCCCATGGTTCTGGAGGAGGGAGTTTTGTGGCTGCCCTAAACCCTGTGTCCCTGGCGGCTGTGATACATCTGACTCCTGCTCTCCTGTGGCTGCTCCTTCTGTTCTCTGGGTGCATCCTTCTCACCCAATTTACCTTCCCCCACCTCACAGCCATCCATTCCATCACTCTCGGCCAATTCTCTGGGGGCTGAGCTTGGGTTTTCCCAACTCTTCTGCCAAATTTGAGTTCAAAGGCCAGGGCCACTTCCTGCCCTCCACTGCCTGGGCAGCCCAGGCCTGGCCAGACTCAGGATTCTGCAACTGAACTCTTTCTCCCAGAAAAATATTCACAGAGCTGAAAGTACCAGATAACTGGTTAAAATATGAAAGGTTTTGGGTGTGATTTTCCTTTTAACTTTGTATTTTGACATGTTTTCAGATTTATATGAGCTACAACAGTAGTTAAAATGATTCCTGCTTACCCTTTACCCAGATCTCCCAATGTGAACTCAAGCATGATTTCTGAAACTTAAGGATCTGTCTTCGTTCTTTCAACATGCTTAGAGTGGCAGTGCTAACAGTTGGTGTCTCACACCTTTGGTTCCATGAAGGTACATGAAGTTTAAAGCCCTGAATGGGTGGGAAGAGGTCATCAGGCAGGCGGCCCCTGCTGCTGGGGCTGCTCGTGGCCGTAGCCACTGTCCACCTTATCACCTGTCCCTATACCAAAGTGGAGGAGAGCTTCAACCTGCAGGCTGTGCACGACCTGCTCTATCATCGGCTGGACATGGACAAGGTGAGGGACTGCTATTGCCTTTGGCTGAAAATCTCATGGTACCAATTTGCAGGGGCTTCTCTGTACTGACCTGCCTTTCTCTTTATAGTATGACCATCACGAGTTCCCCGGAGTTGTCCCCAGGACATTCCTTGGGCCGGTGGTGATTGCAGCATTCTCCAGCCCAGCAATTTTTGTGCTTTCACTATTAGAAATGTCCAAGTTTTACTCGCAGCTAATAGGTAAGGGGGTCTTCAAGAAACAGGTTGGTGTGAAGGATTATGACCTCATCAGATTATTTCAGTCAGGTTGAGGTTCCTCTCATTCAGACAGGTTCCTCTGTCTTTCCTGCCCTCAATCACGTCGGTGCGGCGAACAGGCTCATGGGTCAGACCTGGAATGTGTCAGTGAGCCCCTATGTGCTTCATACAACCATGATACTAGGGGTGATGGTACCTTCCTCTCCAGGACTGGTGGAGGAGGGATGCAACACACTTGTGAGGTACCTCTCATAGGGCCTACAATGTTCAGGTCACTAAGGAACCAACTGAGGCTGCTGCTCCTTCACCTCACCTGGAGAACCCCAGGAAATTAAAGTCTTTTATTCTTGCAGAAGTAGTACATTTGCATTAGGGAACATTACAAACAGAAATCTTATGCTCCCAGAGGTCGCCACTGCAAGAACTGTTTGCAAATCCTTCTGGGTCTCTCTCTGTGCCTATATGAGTACTTTAGAACATTCTGTACATATTGTTCCACAACTGATTTTTAAAAAATCAACAGTTACCATTCTTCCACCCGGTGCAGTGGCTCACGCCTGTAATCCCAACACTTTGAAAGGCTGAGGTGAGAGGATTGCCTGACCCAAGGGTTCGAGACTAGCCTGGGAAACTTGGCGAGACCTCATCTCAACAATAAATTTAAAAATTAGCCAGGTGTAGTGGTGCATACCTGTAGCTCCAGCTAATTGGAAGACAGAAAGAAAGGTCGCCTGAAGCCAGCCAGCCTGGGTAACAGTGAGACTCTGACTCAAAAAAAATCACCATTTTTTTGTGTCAGTAAATTTTTATTTCATCTAATACTTAGACCATATTTAGATTTTCACAATTGACTCAAACACATCCTTACAGCTAGTCTGTCCAACCTACATGGAGAGCTGCAAAAAACATGCACATTCCTGGGAAAGGAGCAGTTCTTCTTGAAAGGGCAGTTAGGAAACGGAAATCCACCATGGTTCAGGGGCAGCTAGACAAGCCGTGCTCATCATGTCGAGGTGTCAGTGATCCCCAGTGGGGAAGAGGTGGGGGACCACTATCTAAGGAAAGGAAATCCAAGGATGAGCCCAGCATGTGGGTCCACTTTCCCCTGGAAGTGTCTGCTTATTCCAGGGGAGGCAACAGAGAGGCTGGGAAGATGGGCAGACTCCAGCTGGGTGGGACCTTGAAGGGCTACAGCCTCAGGTGGTGAACAGGAGCCAGCCTTGCTTCCTGGTTCCTGATTTCACAAAGATGATCATTCCTCTCTGAACTAGATAAAGTTATCCTGACACTGAGGCTGTCTCCATAACCTTTCAAAAACAGTCATCATCAGGCACTGAGTTAGAGATAATTGGACATTCAGGAAGACAGAAAACCAAGAAGTAAAAGAAAGGCAGAAAACTTTACCAGAGTATGGTCAACTACCTAAAAGAACCAAAATGGGAATTCTAGCACTAAAAATATAGCAACTGAATCAGTCCCACATGAGGACATTGGTTTTAAAATGTCCTATGTAAGACATTTGCAATCTGACTCTAGCAGCATATATAAAGCAAAATGCCTGGTGTCCGAGCTAGGTTTACTCTGGGAATGGCAGGTTCAATGTTCAGAAATCTGCAGTTTCCGGGGCTACCCACCTGGCATCACCTTCTGACAGTCTCCAGCAACAGACTGCTCAGACCCTATGACCTCCTCTCAAGTGGGAACTCTAAAGTCTTTTCTGGTCTTCCAGAAAGATGGTGAGAGCAGCCCAGTTCATTTTTATTCCTGTTTTCAGCCTCTCACCAGTGGCTGATAGGCCGCTCTACAATGAAGATGTGTGGTCAACCAGGCACTGTCCTGGGCACACATACAAGACCACTGGTCCGAGGACAGTACCTGCCACTGAATGAAGAAGAATGCTGGTGCCTCCTGCCCTGGAAGCTTATGCTTCCACCACATCCTGACCTCCTCACAGCCACAGTTAGAGGAAGGTCTGAGTCAGGCCCTCACAATATTGCCCCTTAGAGATGTTGGGGGCCTAGTGCAGGACTTGGCTCACCACACTGTCCTACAAATACTTTCTTTGCTGCCGGATGGCCATGTTCCTCCTTCAAGCTGTTGGAGAGCAGTCTCCCAAGAGCCTTCATGGCCTCAGGAAAAGGCTTAGGGTCAGGTGTTGCAGGGGTCCAGGCCATCCTTTTCTGTACCAAAGACGACTCCCTCTCAGGCTGTTTTTTTGTTTTTTTTTAGTTGGAGTCTCACTCTGTCGCCCAGGCTGGAGTGACGTAGCACACTCAAGGCCATTCCAGCGTCAGCCTGCTGGGCTCCGGCGTTCCTTCCACCTCAGCCTTCCAAGTAGCTGGAACTATAGGTGCATGCTACTGCGCCTGGCTAATTTTTTACCTATTGTAGAGATGAGGTCTCGACAAGTTGCCTGGGTGGGTCTCAAATCCCCAGGCTCAGGCAATCAATCCACTTGCCTCGGCCTCCCAAAGTGCTGGGATCACAGGCTGAGTCAACAAACCCGGCCTCAGGCTGTTTTGCTGGCACTTGGTTGTAACTCACCATCACAAGTAGCACTTTGAAAGACTTATTTTACTTCTCCTTGCACTGCAGGGTCACAAGCGTGTTGCTGTCTTTGTTTATTTGTTTAGTTAGAGGAGTCCTTGGACTCGGAGTGATTTTTGGACTCTGGATGTTACAAAAGGAAGTGAGACGACAGTTTGGTGCCACAGTGGCTGCCATGTTCTGCTGGGTGACGGCTACACAGTTCCACCTGATGTTCTATTGCACACGGACACTGCCCAACATGCTGGTTCTGCCTGTGGGTATGTAGCTGTCGACTGTGCCCATAGACCCGGCATCAGGCCCCCACCTTTGGTCGCTAAGTGAGGGACTCATCCCAAGCCAGGGGAGCATGTGTCCAATCTGTGCATGTCTCCCCATGAAAGCTGCTCCCCACTGGCTCCACAGGGACACTGGCTCAGGACAGTCTGATCTGAAACCAGGTTCTTTGTTCTGTGTTGGGTTGGGCCACACTTCCTAGCAAATGGCATGTGTGGGGGCACACATATCAGCGGTTCTGAGCAGTTTCTTTTCTGGGATGATATGTGTATGGCTTTCTTGATAAGAAGATAAATCACCCTTCATTTCCCAGGGTGTTTCTGAGCTGGGGTGGGGGCCAGGCGCTGTTGTGTGTGACAGGCGCCCCTACTGCCCCGTCTTGTAGTCCTGCTGGCCGTCGCGGCCTGGCTGCGGCATGAGTGGGCCCGTTTCATCTGGCTCTCTGCATTTGCCATCATCGTCTTCAGGGCTGAGCTCTGCCTGTTCCTGGGCCTCCTGCTGCTGCTGATGTTGTGCAACCGAAAGATTTCTGTGGTCAGAGTACTTGGCCATGCAGTCCCTGCTGGGATTCTCTGCTTAGGTAAGTCAGTTCACTGTGGGATTCTTCTGACCAGATTTTGCTTTGTCTTGTTTTATAAAGATGAAGAGAAATTGGGGAAGTTTTTTTTCTCCATACAATAAAATTACTTAACTTTGAGCACTGTTAAAACATCTCAGCCGGGCTCGGTGGCTCAGCCTGTAATCCTGCACCTTTGGGAGGCTGAGGTGAGTGGATTGCCTGAGCCCGCGGGTTCGAGACCCACCTGGGCAGCGAGACCTCATCTCTACAATAAATCAAAAAATCAGCCGGGCGTGGTAGCGCGTGCCTGTAATTCCGGCTACTCGGAAGGCTGAGGCAGAAGGATCGCCGGGGCCCAGCAGGTCGAGGCTGCGGTGGCCGGGAGTGGCCACTGCACTCCAGTCTGGGCGACAGAGTGAGACTCCAACTCAAACAAACAAACAAAAAATCTCAGTTCTAAGCTGTCTACACATGGGTCTCCAGCAGTGTCAGCAGCCCTGACTGCTGCCCTGGAGCCTCTGTCTGCCCATCTGTCCCTCATGCTTGGCTGAGGCCAGGGAAGGCCGCAAGAACAGGAGAGTGGCTTGTCTCTGCACCCCAGACTGAGAGGACCAGCTCTGGGGAGTGGTGTCCTCAACATAGCATCTTGGATGTGAAACTGGCTTGTTTCTATGGTGACGAGGGCAGGTTCATGAGGGGACACTTACTGATGTCGCAGGTCTTTGTGGCTGTGCTCATGACTGAAGACTCTTTTTTATTTTATCAGGACTGACGGTTGCCGTGGACTCTTACTTTTGGCAGCAGCTCATGTGGCCAGAAGGAAAGGTGCTTTGGTACAACACTGTCCTCAACAAAAGCTCCAACTGGGGCGTATCCTTCAGTGTCTCTGGAAGGCTGGAGGGTATGGGACTGTCAGCCTCACTTCCTAATCCTCCTCAAGTGGTGGGAGCAGCTGCTTTTTCTCCCAGCTTTGTGGCCCTGCTGCAGGGCCAGGATTGAGCCCCTTCCTTCTGCCCATACCTGGGAAATGGGCTATAGGAAGTCTCTGGATGGTGCCACCTTCCTTTAATCCTTGGGATAATCTGCTTTTTTAAAAAAAAACTTTACTTAAATGGGCTATTTGAAGCATATACACCAGTAGAAAGAACAGTATAATGAATCCTTGATGTTTGCATCACCCATGTTTATCTATTTTTACAGTGAAACAAAGGAGGGTAAGATAAAAGGACTTCCCACAGCCCTGGGTGCAGGACCCTCAGTGACCCTTGTTGCTATGACTGAATGTGCCCAAGTTGTATCCTCTGCCATGCCTGCAGGGGCTAGCCTGCCAGGGACCTGAGGCTCAAGTTGCGTCCACACAACTGTGCGATGGTCCTGGCTGGGTCTTTTAGCACAACTGTCTTTAGGGTGTCTTCTCAGCCTCAATCTTGTCACCCAGCCAGCAGGCCCATTAGTGGACAGGTGACACGTGTGGCCTCCTTAACCTTCTAACCCGAAGACCTCCCCGCTCCTGTGGTACTTCTACTCGGCCCTGCCCCGAGGCCTGGGGTGCAGCCTTCTCTTTGTTCCCTTGGGCCTGGTGGACAGAAGGACTCATGCGCTGATTCTGTCATCCCTGGGCTTCATAGCGCTGTATTCCCTCCTTCCACACAAAGAGCTGCGTTTCATCATCTACACCTTCCCTGTGCTCAACATTGTGTCCGCCAGGGGCTGCTCTTACCTGTGAGTGCTTTGTTTTGTGACATGTATTTTGATAGTTTCATTGGAAAAAGGTTTAGTAATTTTTGATGGGGGTTCTTTTTTTTTTTTTTTTGAGTTAGAGTCTCACTCTGTCGCCCAGACTGGAGTGCAGTGGCCGCTCCCGGCCACCGCAGCCTCGACCTGCTGGGCTCCGGCGATCCTTCCGCCTCAGCCTTCCGAGTAGCCGGAATTACAGGCGCATGCTACCACGCCCGGCTAATTTTTGATTTATTGTAATGAGATGAGTTTTCGCCTGCCCAGGCAGGTCTCGAACCCTAGGCTCAGGCAATCCACTCACCTCAGCCTCCCAAAGGCGCAGGACCACAGGCTGAGCCACCGAGCCCGGCTGATGGGGGTTCTTTTTAAAGATAAACACAGGAAGTATTTACTGGGCACCTGTGTCAAAGGAGGGCGGACCCAGTCCGCTCTCCAGCCTCATGGCTGTGTGGGCCATGGGCTAGGATAGGTCCTGCAATATACCCACCAATGGCTCTGCTTGGCCACCTGTCTATATATGGTGATGTTCTAACTGTCCCAGTGCTTGCTCACACGGGGGAAAGGACATTTACACAGGTAATGGTGGGGTGCAGGGGCTGCCAGGCCTGGGAGGCTCCAAGGACGTCTGGTCAGGGGAAGGAGGGACACGCATTTGTCTAACTACAGGTCAGGAAAGTATTTCAGGTTGAGCATGTTTGTTGAGGTGGTTGGACCAGCTGGAGGGGAGGAGAGGGCTCAGGGAGGTGCTTGTAGCTCAGTGTGGAGGTCCCAGCAAGGTCATCTGGAAGGTGGGGAGGGTTGTTGAGGGGAGGGCACTCAGCCACAGGTGATGAAGTTGGAGCCAGGAGCCAGGCGGGGCATGAGCAGGGGGTTGCCGGGGCTGAGGGCAGGGAGTTCCAAGCATGGCTGCCACTCATGGTGTTGAAAGCACCAGGGAACCACACGAGCCTGTCACTGCGCCTGTCACTGCCTGTTTCCTTCTCTCGACACTGTAGAAGGGCCCTGGGGCTAAGACAGGCTGGCCACATGCCCCATTCAGAACTCCCTGCTTTGGTGGGAATAGGAGGACAACTCAGGCCAGGATGGGGTGCTGAGAGGCAGAATTGGGGGCCGAGAGGGCTGCTGAGGCCCAGATGGGCCAGGGACCCGTGGTTCAGAGAGGTGCTCACCCTGGCTGGGAGTGGAAGCCTTGAAATGCCCCCATGATGTAGCTTGGTGAGCCTTCCACACTTGTTAAAGGGGAGGGAATGGTGTGCCCTGCCTGTGTTTTCGCCTCCATCGAGCAGATTTCTGTGAGGTCTGGCTTTTGCTTTTCTTTGCCTTTCTTTGTCTGCCTCTCATCCCAGGAGTTGGCTCAGGGCTCCTGAAGGGGTGTAGACCACAACTCAAGTCATGGAAAAGGCAGAGTGTTAAAGATGGATAAAGTGGACGCTAAAGTGGCAAGGACAGATTTTATTTGAGGCTAGAATTTCCAGCAGGGAATAGGGTCTGACAGGATCTGGACTCAACTTTGCTGAAACAAAAGTCTTGGTGGTTTTCGTGGCCTGGGATGAAGGGGCTGGCTGTGCACTGAGGCCACCTGGGCATGCTGATTGGCCTCATCTGGAGGAGGAACAAACTCTTTATGACAGGGCCAGGGTTCAGGTTTGAGCCAGGCCCCCATTGAAGTCAGGTCCTTACCCCCAGCAGGGCCTGGGAGCAGGAGTAGACGATCTCCCTGGGTGTTTGTGTTTCAGACTGGGCTCTCAAGCCCTTGAGACAGTTCTGGGTGATTTTCATCTGGAGGGGAGGAGGAGGGGAATGTCATCTTAGGGTAGGGCCTTAGGCATTAGAAACTATGCTAGATTTTGTTCAAGGTCGAGGCCTGGTGGAGAAGAGCTCAGAGGAGACTGATGGCTTTGGTCAAGAGCAAATCTTGGCTTAAGGATCAACTATGAGTTTAGACCAGGGTTGGCAAACTTTTCTGTTTAGGGCCAGATATAAATATTCTCGTCTTTGTGGGCCACACAGCCGCTGTGGCAGCTTTTGACTGCTATTGTAGTTCAAAGTCTACAGATGACAATAAAAGAGCAGTCAGTGCCATGTCCCACAAAACTTATTTGCAAACACTAGCTGTGAGTTGGGCATGACCTGTAGGTGGTACTCTGACCTAAGCAGTAACTCAGGAGTGTTTGAAAATATTTTTCTGAAAATCTAATATAAATTTTAAATTGGCATCTTGGGTGGAATGTCACAGAAAAAAATCTTAAGGTAGTATTTTAGCCACTTTCACTATTGTATATATTTGGTGGTTATGTCTTTTGCTTGTTATGACTTAGTGAAGTTGCATGGCTTGTTTATGTTCCTAATATGTTTTCTAGATGTAGTTAAATACTTTGATTTTATTGCCATCATATTCTTTTTTATGGAATGTAATCATTCTTCTTTCAGGCTAAATAACTATAAAAAGTCTTGGCTGTATAAAGCAGGATCCCTGCTTGTGATAGGACACCTTGTGGTGAATACCACATACGCGGCCACATCTCTCTACGTGTCCCATTTCAACTATCCTGGTGGCATTGCAATGCAGAAGCTACATGAGCTGGTTCCGCCCCAGACAGGTCAGTGCTAGGAGTGCTGCCGAAGGGCCCACTGTGGCTCTGCTCCAGTGCTGGGGTCTAACGTGCAGGTGTGGTTTTCCTAGATGTCCTCCTGCATATTGATGCAGCTGCGGCCCAGACAGGCGTGTCCCGGTTTCTACAAGTCAACAGAGCCTGGAGGTATGTTTCCTGTACAATGCAGCTCCTCCCAGAGGCCATGCGGGTCCCCTCAGGGACCCACGGGAGTAGTGTGGGGCCCCAGGTGGAACCACTGGCTCCTCTCTTACAGGTATGACAAAAGGGAGGACGTGCAGCCCGGGGCAACAGGCATGCTGGCCTACACACACGTCCTCATGGAAGCAGCCCCTGGGCTCCTGGCCCTGTACAGAGACACACACAGGGTCCTAGCCAGTATCACAGGCACCACAGGTGTGAGTCTGAACCTGACCAAGTTGCCTCCCTTTGATGTCAACCTACAGACAAAGCTGGTGCTTCTGGAGAGACTTTTCAGGTCATCTTGAAGAGGAACCAGATCACCCACCAGCAGCTATGGTCCCTCTAAGAACACCCATCTCTGACAGCTTCTGGCACAATTAAGACAATTCAGAGAAACAAATTAAGGAACCATTGAACATGCCTCTGATGCATACCAGAAGTAGCAGGGCCAGGGCATCCATCCACAGCTGTACCCAGGGCTCAAGGATCTAGAGAATGAGGGACCCAGGTCTTGGTAGTACCCTGGGAGCCACTGCAAAGGGTGACAGTAGCCTGCTTGGACCTTCCTTCAAGTGGTCAGGTGGGTGACAAGATCATTGATCGTCCAGACTGAGCACCATTCATATCTAAGAGAAGTCAGCGGCCAGGCTGAGACCATCTGGACGTGAAGTGACCTTTACGAGTCCTGCCTACCCACGTAGAGCTGCGTTTTGGCAGCATGCCATGCTTGCTGCCCAAGGGCTTTTGGGGACACCTGAAATAGGGATGCCCTCAGGGGTGACCACAAAGTAGAGGTGGACCTCAGCACCTGTGGACTTCCCTGCCATCCACCTCCCCCCCTTACTGCCACCACTATAACTTTTATATTCATAAGCATGCTGTCTCCACCTCAGATTAAATTTTGGGAGATATGCATGTTAAAAAAAGGAATGAGAGAAAAAGAACAAGGCAGTAAAATGTTGAATGGATCCTCTCAAGATGAAAAAAATGAGAATAAAATTTTCTAAATGTTTTATTATGCAATGTCTTATGATGTGTGATTATATCCAGAGACTGCCTCTACCCAAGTACTATTGTTAAGGGACAGTTTGGTGCTGCCACTCTTCACTAGAAATGCATTTATAAAGCACCTGAAGTGTGTGTGACACCGCTGGGCACTAGAGATGGCACAAAAGATTGGTGCCACTGCACACACATGCACATGTGTGCATATACACGTGCTTATGCACACACCACATGCATGCACTCATGAACACACACAACACATATACGCACTGGCCTCAAGTGATCCTCCTGCCTCAGCCTCCGGAGTAGCTGGACCGCAAGCGTACATCACCATGCCTGGCTGATTTTTTTTGTTTTTTATAGAGTCATGGTCTCACTATGTTACCTAGGCTGGTTTCAAACTCCTGGCCTCAAGCAGTCATCCTGCATTGGCCTAAAGTGCTGGGATTACAGGTGTGAGTCGCTTCACCTGGCCTTCTGAGCTTTTTTAGTGGATTTCTCAGGGTATGGTCCTTGGCCCCTGAGTACCTCGACTGCCTTTCCCACATGATAGTTACAGTTTTTTCCTTTGTAACTAACAAGCATCTGTGCAGACACTTTCCAATAGAACCTCATCATACTCAAAATCTCCCAGATGCAGCCCCACTAAGTATTCTTGCTGAGACAAGTCGTGTTAGTGATGGTTGCAGAGCAGGATTTCCAACTCCAGCTCAGCCTCCACATCTGCCCATCGGCACTCAGCATTCCATGAAAGCAAGTTCCTTTGTTAGCCTCATTTGTTTATATGTTTATTACTGGTATTTACTACTTATTCATATTCATGTATTATGATCTTTTATTGATGTGCACATGTGGGTTGCTGCCCAACTTCAGTGGTTTATGAATTATTCCTGTCTTTATTTTGGCATTCAAATTGTACAAGATTTGCACAGTGGGAGCCCTGTCAAGCTCTGTCCTTGTGCCATAGCTTTTCCTTTAAGCACTTCCAAGCACAACAAGTTGTCCTCATGGGCCATTTCTCTGACAGGTTGTGGCTCCTTTTGGTGGGGAGTGGTTTTAGAGACCAAGATCAAGGTGCTGGGAGTGCTCATTGCTATTTGAGATGTCTGTACTTTTAGGCCCTTACTGTAGAGAGAACTAGGGAGTTCTGTGTGTACACACGCATATACATATATATGTACACATGTGTATACATATCTGAAAAAAATCAACCATACCTATACTAAAAATTCCATTTCATCTCCACAGGGTTTTCTTCCCTCCATTCCACTTCTATATGTCCCATCTTCCACAGTGAGAATTCTGCCTCCAACCATATCAACATAATTACTCATTTGCTCAATAATCAAATGCATGCTAAATAGTTCTGGAATTGCTTTGCCATATGATTGCAAAAACAAACTCACTACAGAGAGGTCAGGATTTGTTTGTGGTTTTTAACTCCCCCTACCCATGACTTAGAGGTATATCATCAAACACTGTGGTGATCAATTCTTTGGATTGGTTTCTCCCTGGCCCTACCTAAAGTGTGGTTATGGTTTTCAATTGAAATAGAGTTGGTTTTTCATTCCTCCCATTTGCTTTCAGTCGTATGAGCCCCCCTACCACCACCACTTCCTATCTTTTTAAATTTGTATAATATGATCATGCTTCTAGAAATCAATACACTTCATAAAAGGATACTCAGAGAAGCCAGTCCCTCCTGTATCTCCTTCCCTGTTTTTGGTAACTAACATAATTGTTTTCTGGTTTATTCTGAGTGTGTTTAATTTTGTAAAAATAAACATACATGTGTATTTATTTATCTTTCTTACAAGTAGCATTCTTTATATGCTCTTTTGTGCTTTGGTTTTTCTCACTTAACAGTGTCTCCTGGAAATCACTGTGTCTATTTAGAGAGATTTCTCCGTCTTTTAGAACCACACAACACTCCATCACACATAAATGCCATAGTTTATTCAGCTGCTGTCCTCTGTGTGGGCATTTAGGTTATTTCCAATATTTTGTAAATTCAAATAATGCTGCAGTAAATGACCTTGTACATTGTATTTTCATATTGTTCAAGGTATATATTTAAGGTAAATTCTTAGACATGGTAATGCTGGGTCAAGGGGTAAATGCATATTAGTTTTGTTAGGTATTGCCAAATTCCTTCCATAGGGTGGTACCATTTTTCATACCCACAGAGCCAAGCCTTTTCAATTGGCCAGTGTGATGGGTGAGCAGTGGTATCTCAGTATAGTTTTAATAATTCCTCTTATGAGTGAAATTGAATGTCTTCATAAGCTTAAGAGCCATTTTTTTGAATTGTCTGTTTATACCTTTGGTCTGTTTCTCTTGGATTTTAAGTTTTTTTCCTCACTTTATAAAGTTATTTAATTATGACTTTATTAGATATTATTAGATATTCATACTTTATCTCCAATATATGTTATAAACGTTAATAATTTCTCCCTGGCCAGGAGTGGTGGCTCACACCTGTAATCCTAGCACTTTGTGAGGCCAAGGCAAGAGGATTGCTTAAGGCCAGGAGTTTGAGACTAGCCTGGGCAACATAGCAAGACTCTATCTCTACAAAAAACAAAAACAAAAAACAGTCAGTGTGGTGGCACATACCTGTAGTCACTACTGAATTTGGCTTGCCAGTGTCTTATTACTGATTTTTGCATCAATGTTCATAAAGGATATTGGTTTGTACTTGTAGTAGCTTTGTCTGGTTTTGGAATCAGGGTAATGCATAACCTCATAGAACAAATGAGGGAGTGTTTCCTCCTCTTTAATTTTGTGGAAAAGTTTGAGAATAATTTAAGTGTTTAGGACAGTTCGCACAAGGCGGGGTATTTTATACTTGCATCGTCCACTAAGAACCACCAAAATAGTGAGTGGATAACCACACACTGAATAGATCATTCAAGAGAAAATACTGGAATTCAACAGAAAAGTTACAGGAAATACTAAAGCAAGGAAAAAGGAAGCGAGACTCAACTGGGATCAGCTGGGAGCCAAGAGAATCCCAATAAAGGGAAAGGGTGAGAGGCCCTCAGCAGTCCACATGCCCATCATGAATTGCATGCAACCCAACAGATACACAAAAAATTGTTCAGCCTTACTAGTCATCAAAGAAATGCAAATTAAAACCACACTGAGATACTACCTAATCCCAGTCAGGATGGACATCATCAATAACTCAAAAACCAGATGCTGGAGAGTATGTGGGGAAAAGGGAACACTTCTACACTATTGATGGTAGTGTAAACTAGTACAACCTTTGTGGTAAACAGGTGATTCCTAAAAGATCTAAAAATCAACCCTCCATTTGACTCCACAATCTCCCTTGTGGGAATATACTCTATGAAAAAGATGCCTGCACACACGTTTACTGTAGCATTGCTCACAATAGCAAAAACATGGAACCAACTGTGCTGCCCATCAAAAAAAGACTGGGTAAAAAAAAATGTACATACACACAATGGAATATTATGCCGCCATAAAGAAGGACAAAATTATGAACTTTGCAGCAACTTGGATAGACTTAAGAGTCTATAATACTGAGTGATCTATCACAGAAACAAAGAACTGAGTACCACATGTTCCCACTCATAAGCGGACCTTGAATAATTATCATAATATTATAAGAAAGGGTTTGGTAGTAGTTGAAACTGCCAGGGGAGTGGAGGGGGGAGGGTTTGCAGTAGTGGGAAACTGCCAGGGGAGTGGGTGGGCACACCTCATCAACAAAGGCACCTGCAGCTGGGCTTGGTGGCTCAGCCTGTAATTCTGCACTTTGGGAGCCTGAGGTGAGTGGATTGCCTGAACCTGAGGGCTCCAGACCTGCCTGGGCAACTTGGTGAGACCTCATCTCTACAATAAATCAAAAAATTAGCCGGACATGGTAGTGTGTGCCTGTAGTTCCAGCAACTTGGTAGGTTGAGGCGGAAGGATCACCGGAGCCCAGCAGGTCGAGGCTGCGGTGGCTGGGAGCGGCCACTGAACTCCAGTCTGGGTGACAGAGTGAGACTCCAACTCAAAAACAAACAACAAAAAAACAATGGCACCTGCATAATGAACATTTGTATATCTAACCCTGAATTGTACCCCCACATCTTTAAAATAAAAAATTTTAAAAGAAAGCAATACAAAGAAATCACAAAAACAATTCAGGATATGAAAGAGAAATCAGCTAAAGAGCTATCATTTAAAAGAACCAAACAGGCCGGGCTCGGTGGCTCAGCCTGTAATCCCAACACTTTGGGAGGCTGAGGTGAGTGGATTGCTTGAGCCTGCAGGTTCGAGACCAGCC